CACTTTCTCTTCACAAGTAGTTTGCAACTTAGAACTTCATAAGTTATAAGTTATCCCTCGGAGGAGAATTATTAAAATTATTGCATTTACACAAATTGAGGTTACTTTGACCGTTAGATTCCCATAGGAATTTGTGCAGTGGAGTCAACCTAGTGGCTTCTATCAAGAAGACAAAAGAGGCTCGAGGGTTTGTTCAAGAAGGCGACAAGGGCCAACATATGAGGTATGAATTAGGTCCCAAAGAACGAGAGATAAGTAAAAAAAAATAGGTCCAATTTGCATCGTCTCTCATGTTCTCTGCTGATTCTATCATCATAGAGACCATGGATAGACAATAACTCTCCCCTAAACACAGCTGACAATCTCATCATACCACGCTCTCCATTTTGGTCTCTAAACTTTCAAAAAGCCTATTTTAGTCCATAAATTTTAAAAAGCTAACCATTTTTGTCCCTTCTTTTGTTTCTAACAAATTGATGATGTTACTTCAAGTATATGTACTAACTACTAACATGTTAATGTGAGCATATATTCAAATTTAATAGCTGAGTCGAGGTGGATATTAGGTGGGAAAATAATATAACAAGGACAAAATGGTTATCTTTGAAACTTCAAGGGGCACGAAACAAGATTTAAAATAAATAATGGCAACATATTAACCCGGAGATAAATCTTAACTACAGAAATTTACATATCCAAGTCACAGTCTCAGTTTATAATCAGTAAACATAGAAAATCCACGGATTCCTAGCTATTAAAAATGGCAATGAACGGTTCAAAAGATCATCAAACACAAATTATTATGCTCATTGTTAACTCTACCAAAGAGTGGACAGAAGAAGTACCTGAAAAAAGGGCCTCTATAAACAGAAGAACCCAAATTAGCCGACGATTGGAGATAATATGCATTGTAGATTTTGAACGGAGACCCACCATGATGATCCTCTGAAACCCCACAATCAAACTGCAAAATGGAGCCAACTCCGGGCTTACTCACACAAATCTTCATCAAAATCTCCCTCGGAAACGCACCTTCTCTTCCGAATCTGAGAGGACCCGACAGGGCAGAGACAGCAACCTCCTCACCGGACTCCAATTTCCTCCGTAAAACCACGTCTTGGGACTTGGGCGAGTCATGTTCCACCACGAAATCTCTGGAACAGCCACTTTCGTCGCTCTGCAAATGGGGAAAAGAGGAAGAAATGGGATTCTTTGTTTTTACTTGGATTGAACAAACTGAGAAAGGGGTTTCGATGGTGGAATTGAACCTGAAATCGAGTGGAAGAAAGCTCGTGGGTGATCTCGGATTGCAAGATCTTGAGCAGGTCCAGATCATGGAGGGCTTTACGAGCCTTGCGGAAGATTTGATTCGCCCTCGGCATTCTACTGTGTGACCCCTCCTCTCGGTCTCCAACTTCCCGCAATCTCGCTCTAATCCTCCATTTTTTTTTCTCTTTGTTAAATTGCAAATTTAGTACAAATAATTTAACTTAGTTTCAAATTTCCAATTTAAATCCTATTTTGATCGGTGTATTTTTTGTTTTAGTTCTATCTGAGTCCCTATAGTCTAAAAAATGTTCATTTTACCAAAATGAGCATAACTATAAGGGATTGAGGGTGACTCTAGGTGTTCCCACAAGGTAGTGTGGTCCGTGTAGCAAGTGTTCTATCTGGACGCTGGATAGAAGGGGGCTCCCGTTCCCAACTCGGAGTAGAGTTCATGACTATTCGAGACAAGATACAAGTGACACTTTGTTCGAAGGGAGGATTGTTGGGTTTGTAAAGAGTGCAAACAAAGTATCACATTGGTTAGGAAAAAGGGTGATCAAGGGAGAACAATTATCTCCATTGATATGAGGTCTTTTGAGTGGAACCAAAAGCAAAGCCGTGAGGGCTATGCCCAAAACGAACAATATCACACCATCACTTTTTTAAAGTACAAGTGCACATTGTCAGTATAGGTAGTAACTATCTATTATTTTAAGCCTATCAGTTCATTCATATATCCCTCATCTCTACTCAGATTTCTCCTAGCTAATTACAAATACATTATTGATTATAATAAATATGTGGGGTCTACAAATAAGGAATGTGAATGTGATTGGTGAGATTGTAGGAGTGTAATGCCTTTTACGGGATGAGATTACAAAGTTTTTGAGGTGAGTTCCACCATTTGTTTCATTCCTATAATTTGGTAAACATCGAGAATGAAAGTTTTCATTACAATTCCGATTGTGGATAAGTAAACGGTACTTAGGCTACGTTTACTTATCCGCAATGGTAATGCAAATCAATGGTAATAAAAATAATTGTAATCGTAATGTTATTCAATTGATCTTGTTTACTAGAAATTTTCTAGAATCGTAATCATAATTCCTTTGATATTGTTTACTAAAACTGTTTGGAATCGGAATCGGAATCGGATATATGACAATTACTAATATATCATTTTCTCCCTTTTAGCTAATTACAAATATATTATTGTGCTAATCTTTTTTAAATTACAATAATAATAAATTTTAATTTATTCTAATATTAATGCATAATGAATAATTAAAATAAAATTACATCAAATAAAATATTTTTTATTACAACAACCAAACTTTAATATAACATATTATTAAGTTTTATTATTATAATATTTAAAAGTAATAATATCTATTTAAAAAATTTATTGATATTAATTAATATTAATGAATCATATTATATAATAAAATCACATCAACTAATAAAAATTAGAGTATAAATGGAGAAGAAATTATAAAAGTACTAAAAAAACTAATTAAAAATTATATGGATCTAATCCATATATGAGAGAGAAAGGGTAAAAGTAGTATATTAATTATAAGATATATGTGGGGTCCATGGAATAAGGAATGAAAATGAGATTGATGAGGTTGTAAGAGTGTAATGGGATTACAACTTTTTATCTAATGAGATTACAAAGTCTGAGGTGGGTCCCACCATTTGATTAAACACCGTCAAAGGGAATCAAAGTTTTTATTACGATTCATTGATTACGATTGCCGGTAAGTAAACGAGGCCTTAAATTAAAATTAAACTCAAATCGACCAAACTAAACCTAAACACAAGACATGTAGGGCTCGTTTGGTAACGATCATGTTTCTCGTTTATTGTTTTTCGTATCCAATTTTATTAAGAAATCTAAGCATTTTGCAACTAGCCATGCTTATTGTTTGTTATAGGAAGTAAAACGGTCCAAACAAGAATGAGAATCGTACCGGGAAGAAGAAGGAAGAACCCCGAAACAGCTACCAACCGAGGCCGACCCAGAACCTAAGGACCGGCCCACTCAACGGCCGACCCGACCTTAGAGCTGAGGCGCCGAGGTGTTCTAGGCTACAGGTCGAGAACACCTCTCGACTTCTCTCTCGATCCCTGTCCCGACCGACTTGTGTTTGTAGAACCTCGACCCAATTCTAATTTTGGAGCTCGCAACGATCGCAACGAAGCATCTCACGACCCGAGAAGTCCGATGATGTGAATGACCTAGGGTTCGAATAATGAAACCTTAGGAGGGAGGACAAACTATAAATAAGGAAAGAGGTCAAACCTAAAAGGTACGCTGAAACCCTCTATTCTTTTCCTACTCTCTTCACTCGACTTCCCCGATGCTAACTTAAGCATCGGAGCCCGTGTGGCCAAAGCCACACCGGTCCTAGTGCTATTCTGTTTGGTAGGTCATGTCGATCCCTTCCATACTTAGAAGATTGGTGCAAATTTGGCGAGATTTCAGGGAACCAAATTTCTGCATCAACAATTGGCGCCGTCTGTGAGAACGATACAGTTCGAGCAAACTTAGCCGAGGCGAAATCCTAATCCGAGGAGGGTAACATGGAACAAGTCGATGTAACCCCTGGTGGAAGACGATAATGTTTCGAAAGCAAGAGCCCAAACGAGGCTGCCGACCACTCGAGGGAAGCAAATCCGAGCCCTGGTCATCGACTAAATCCGACCACCTTCGGTAGGGGAGAACCAGCTGAGGAGGTGGAATCTATTCCTTTGATGTCTGAGAATCGACGAATCAGCAATTGAGGGTTGAAGAAAGAAAGAGCCCTATAGACTTCCTTAGAAGCAACGCCGACGTGTTCGCGTAGTCGCATGAGGACATGCCAGGAATCGATCGATGAGTCATGGTACATCGACTCATTAAATAGACATTTGTTTTTACAAAATACAAACTACGAGTTTAGGGCAACACACCCAACAAGAAGCTCGATGATGTGAATGACCTAGGGGTTGAATAATGAAACCCTAGAAGGGAAGAAAAACTATAAATAAGAAAAGGGGTCACACCTAAAAGGTACGCTGAAATCCCCTATTCTTCTCCTACTCTCCTCACTCGACTTCCCCGATGCTAACTTAAACATCGAAGCTCGTGTGGCCAAAGCCACACCGGTCCTAGTGCTATTCTGTTTTGCAGGTCACGTCGGTCCATTCCATACTTAGAAGATTGGTGCAAATTTGGCAAGATCTTAAGGAACCAAATTTCTGCATAACATTGTTTATCATTTATTAGGAACATTCTCAAAATTATATAGAAATTTTGAAAACAACAAAAACAAGTTTCTTGGTTCTTCTATGGATTAACTTTTGGCTCGTATGAGAACTTCTTTATTCAATATTTCAAACTTAGTTTGGATGTGCAAACTGAATTTCATTCAAATACATATACGGATTTTGGATTATACATTACATGAAATATATTGACAAATGGTTAAATTTAACGTTTAATTGTAATCCAAAATTAAAATTTTTGGGTTCAGCAGCCATTCAAAATATGATACCGAAGGCTAATTTTTTAGATTTATTATAAAAATATTCTCACCTCCAAACTTATTTGAAAAATTATGCTTCATAAGTTTCTCTTGTGACTAGGTTGTCTTCAAGAAGTGACCTATCCGACTTTAGTCGTAGTTGTCTCTAGCATTTATGCATATACAATCACGTTGCTTTAAAAAAAAAAAACTAAATTATCTCTTGAAAAGACTACATATTACCTATTTAAAGAAATATACCAATGTGATGAAGTGACTATATATGTTCCTTGCCAACATAGAGATATCATAGCTTCAATCCCCAACTCTATCATGATTTTTCTGGGTAAATTGAGATAAATTTTACCCTTGTTTAAAAGGAATATATATACTCATTAAAATTTTATTGGATAAAAATAATTATAGCACATTGGAGTGTTGATACAGTGACAAGAGGCTTGATTGTTGATATTCGTGATCAAGATTCTTGCCCTCTTGTCTAGAAATATAAAACCATTTTTTATCCTTTCCAAAAAACAAAGTACGAATAAAAAAATTATATACATTTTTAAAAAATTTATTTTATAGTAATTACTAATATTTTGTGGGATCTCGAGATTGGTAATTACTATTAATGTACTTGAAGAAACAATTTATTTTATAGTAATTACTAATATTTTGTGGGATCTCGAGATTGGTAAGGAGGATATATTACCATTCCACCATAGTGATATATTCGTTTTAAAATAGGTGTATGTAGTCTCTTCGAGAAACAAAATAGCAGATTTTTTTTTTAAAAATAAAAATAAAAAATAAAAAAATGCAATGTGGTCTCATATCATCTCTTCAAGAGGCCATGTATGTAGGATGCTGAAGTGGAATAGATCGTCTCTTCATCAACAGATGAATTCATGAAGCACTATTTTTGAAATAGTTTTGGATGTGAGAATATTAAAAAAAATAATATAAAAAAAATCCCACTAGTGAAGGGTAGTTTTTTGTTTTTGTTTTTTCTTCTGAAACAAGTGAATGCGGTAATAGTATTAAGTATTGAAAATGATTAATTTACCATCTTATTGTAACTTGTCAACTTAAACTTTTGAGTTCAATGGTGATCAAGAAGAGAAATTGTGAAAAAGTGAGGTTGTGATAAATAGAAATGAATAAAATGCACCATCAAAGAAAAGGTAGCAAAAAAATATTATTGTTGGTTTCAAATTAAGTAATTGATGTATAACTTTATATATAGTCTTACCTAATCAAATAGATCTAATTGGTTTGGTTAGATTTTGCATTCTTATCTATTATGGGGCTTGAGACCAAAGTCTTACCAAAGAGATGGAAATTCTCAAACTAACTCTAATACAAATTAAATATTGAAGTGTGATTTCTCAAACTAACTCTAATACAAGTTAAATATTGAAGTGTGATTTGATTGAAATCAATAATAGAATCATAAACGCGAAAGCGAGCATAGTTCAACGGTATTGACATATATTTCCAACCAATAGGTTGTGAGTTCGATCCTCCATCCAACATGTTGTAAAAAAAAAAAAAACTAATAGAATCATAAACGTCACGAATAAGCTCATTTGATATTAGGTCGGTGAAAACCCTCGAATTAATGGCAATTTTCAAAGGCACACTCAATTAACATGGACACATGATAGC